CACACACACACACACACACACACACCTCGCACCAGGGTCAACTTCCCCCAGAAGCCGATTCGCTTCCCAGCATGCCTCTGGACTGCGGGAGCACCCGGGGGGGACCCATGCAAACCCAGGGAGAACACGCAAGCTCCACGCAGACAGCACCCCCCCGCCCCCCCCAAGAGCAGAACTGAACCCAGGGCCCCGGCTCTGCGAGGCAGGGACGCCGACAACAACGCCGTCGTGCTGGCCCGACGCCGCCCCCAAGAGGGGACGTTCGGCGCTGCTGTCCTGTCTGCCTCAACGCAGAGGGATCAGAGATCAGAAACCCCCTGGCCTGTAACCCCCCCACTCCCCTCGAACCCGCGCCGGCCCCTCACCCTCTCGCTGACCCCGGCGCTGACCGTCTGGCCCCGCCGGTCCTCGTTGCCCTTGCCGTGCCAGGTGACCTCGGCCGTCTCCTCCCCGTCCTTCCCGAAGATGACCCAGGCGTGGTCCTCGGACAGCGCCAGGTGGACGTCCTGCAGCCCCAGGACCTGACAGGCGGCCACCACCGCGAAGGCCACCCCCGAGCTGTCCAGCTTGGTGCCTGCGCAGAAATCGCAGAGCAGTGGAGGGGTGTGAAAAACTGTTTCTAGTGTTGGACACCTACAGAGACAGGTCTGCAGAATGACCCCTCAACAAGAGTCCTCTCTTCCCACAGTGGCCAGATAATCTGCTCTATCAGACTGACAGTCCCACAGCTCTTTTTAGGCACCCCTAGAGCTGACCAGCTTGGTGCCTGCACAGAAATGACAATTAAAAAAAAGTGTTGGGACACTGGACAGCTACAGGACCGCCAGGCAATCGATAGTTTCGATTCAAGAAAGGACACGATTGCGAACCAGCACGTTCGCAGGCGTTCACGAGAACTTCAATATTCGAGGTTAAAACAGAACAGGTGGCTCCACTGTGGCCCCGCGGGTCTGCAGCACAGCCTGGCTGGTGCTGTCAGGTCACCTCGGCCCGATCGGGTCGTTAAAGCAAGACGGGCAGCGCGCGGGTCCGGTCAGGAGGGTCAGGGGGGTCAGTGAGCCCCCAGCTCGGTGAGGTCAGT